TGCTCATCAGAGAAATCTGACTAGTAATCCCCGCTGTATTCCTGCAGGGGAGCCTGGAAGTAATTATCCTTCTCTCTGGTCAATCAATTAGGATAGAGGCATCTAACACTCCCCCACCTCCTCCAAGGAACTGCTAATCTTCTAACACTAACAGGCAACAGGGTTACTATTAATAGAGTGATGTCTGCACTCAACCTGGTCTTTATACCTGTGGCAGGGGCAGCCCACCTGTATTAGATCAGAGTGTGGCCCTTGTGGTCTGCCAGAGGTGAGTGGGGATCCTGGGCCCTCTCTTACTTTATAAGAAGCAAGTGTCTCACCTGCCTGAGCCTCCGTTTTCTCACCCGTCAAATGGGGATTAAACTACTGGGCTCGGGGGATTAGTAGTGAAACTGAGAATAGAGTGTAGAAAGGAATTTAACCCAGTGCCTGGAACTTATAGGAGTTCAGTAAAAAGAAGCCATTATCCTGTTCTGAGGGCAGACCTTACAGTCCTTTCCGTACCCCCTCACCCCGCCCCTTACACACAGAGGCACACACACCTCTACCCTGCAGTAATTGGGTCTCATTCGCTGGCAGTCAGAACATTCTATCCTCTCTGCCGTTTCCAAGCTGCTGTTTCCAAGTCTGCAGGTGGCAGCCACTTTTGAGCCAGAGCAGTTAGGCCAGGGCATGCCTGTATTTTCCTATCCACACAAAGGTTTGCTCTGGAATAGACACCCGTAGGAGCCACGCCCCTCTCTTTCTGCGGCACAAGGACTTCAGCCTGTTTGTAAAAAGCACAGCTCTGCTAAATGCTGGCTTGACCTCAGGCGCATGCCATTCTGCATGGGCCTGGGGTCAAGAACAAGAATGAGTTCTAGAGCCCCAGGGACATTTATCTTCTGCAAGGGGAAGGAGAAGCTGTGACCTGGAGCCCAGACTCCACCATAGCAGAGCCTCTTTCCTGGAGGCAAACCTCACACATACCTGCTTCTAGAACTAACACAGCTGCTCCTGGTGTTCAACGTGCCAGGCTCAGACATCACCAAGGCAATGAGCTAATTGGCCAATCGTCAGAGAAAGGCAAGCAGGGAGGGATGCAGAATTCACATTAAACACGCCAGGGCAGGTCAAAGTCACTAAACTAGTGCTAATGCCACCCCACAGGATGGTCTGGAACAACTTCAACCAGAGCAGCTCCCAGCACTTCACATCAATACTCTCATTTAGAGAAAGTCTAGTAGATCCTACTAGTTCAAATCTCAACTTCCTTAAGGGGATTCAGCCTTGTCGGAGGTATCTTGACTAATTTATCCCCAGAATAAAACCAATGGAAAGGCTGTTGCAGACCCACCATTTACAAGTAGTAGACCTTCTGGGTAATTTACATAGGGCCTACTTTCTTATCTTGCCTGCCTTCTAAAGTGGCTGGGAGGATTGCAGATTATATAGTTTAAGCTTTTGAAAGGAAGTGTAGTATAGTAGGTGCTCAATTAATGCTAAGGTTATTACTGGTAGAAGGAAACAATGTACATGTTAAAATTCCTACTTTCGACCTCATGGCTTATTAGCTATCTGCATTTAGAGATTTTATGTGGTCAAAAAAGTGTTAAAAATCAACAATTGGCTTCAGGAACAATTATGTAAATACAAACACAATTTACTGTTTTGCCAAAGGCAACAGATCTCTGATATACTCACAGCCTCCAAGGAAGGAGAGGAGTAGCCATCTGTTAAATAAATAACTCTTTAGGTAAAAAGTGTTTCCACAAGATTAACTGGAAAATCTGCTGGAGAGCACGACTGTTAGCTGGTTGATGAACATGGGGAGCTACGGGTAATTGGGGTGCTGAGAGGATCAAGGAAATCTTGCATAATTCAAGCTGAGGTGAGAATCTTGATAACCACAGGTTTAAACTTCAAGACCTATTTAAGAAGAACACTTAAAAAAAAAAAGTCACATTACAAAGTCATAATGATCCAGAGCACTACACCAATAAAGAAACAAATAAGAATGTTTTCCTTAATATTTAACTGCCATTTTGCCTACTTGGCTGGAAAAGGGAAGTTCTGGTAAACAGAATATTCTGATCAGTAGAAAGTATCCATGAAGAATATCTGTGCATTGTCAGTATCTACAGGCTCAGAATACAATAAAAACACTTAACAATAAAGTGAAACAGGATCCAATTTCATCTTTCCTTGGAAGATTCAGAAAGCACTTCAGAATCACATAGTCCCCTTATGAAGTTAATTTCTATTGTCATTTAAAAAAATTAATAATAAATCTGTGGCATTAGCTGTCATTTGTCTTTCCCCAATCTCAGGGAAGAAAGTCTCTGCCTAGATGACAGTGTCTAGGTGACAGTGGGACTTAACTGTGCTTTGGTGGTGTTTCTCAGAGAAGATAGGCTTAATAGACCCAACTTCTACATGGGCAATAATTCCTGCAAGAATTTGCTCCAGGGAGCCCATGTCTGGATGTCACCTATGTGGCAGAGAAGTGGAGGCGGCATTTCTGTGCCAGTGGTCTCCGAACCTCTGCTTATGTTCCTTCCAACCCTCAGCATCTGCCTTAACCTTCACCTTTCACAGTTCTAAGCACCTCCAGGCTGTGTTAAGGGGAGTTAAAACCAACCAGGAGTAGAGAAAAACAGGGAGAACCAAAAGAAACATTGCTATGAGTAGGACTCCAAAAGGAAATGTACCTGACAGATGACTACCAAAATGGGTGAAAACAGGTGTGACTCCTTCATAAACCACTTGGGGAAATTCTCATGAAGATGGCTGACCTATCATCCACACCCAAAATATGATTAACTCTGTTGTGGTCCACACATAGGTCAGAGATCAGACTGAAGGGCATCTGCTATGTGTCAAACAGCCACTTCCTGCTTCTCCCAAGGTGTATGCACACCCTGTGATTCCATCTGATCCCAAGTCACTGGGGTGGGACGGGGGGAGCTTTAAATGAGGAGTCATGAGACCAACTGCCAACTCGGCTCAGAACCAGATGAGCGACTTGGGTGGGACCTGTGTCCTCTGTGGTACTCCGCTTCCTTCTCTATGAAGGGAGAAGGGCAGGTGAAGAACTGAGATAGATCATCACTGACTCCATTCAGTCAAGTTTTATCATGTGTCCATCATGGACTTGGCACCAAGCTTCAATTCAAGGTGATGAAGCAACTGTCTCAAGCTTCCAAATCAGGACTAGATCATCAGTTTTGAAACCCTATGCTCTCTGTCTTTATAGGAGGAAAGGGTGCAAAATGTAGCCTGAAGCAAAGAAATCTGGACTGAGAGTCAAGAGTCCTGGGCTCTAACCTGACTCCATGTTTTACCTGCCTATGTAAAGCTCTTTACCTGGGCTTTTTTGGCTTCCATTTTCTCATCTGTGAAATGAGGCAATTGGTATAAAGATTCTTAACTGAGACTCTACGAACATCTTTGGTCCATGGCTGGGACTCAAGCTATTCACAAACCCCTAAAAATTGTTTTCAAATTTTTGTGTGCAGGGGCATATTTCTAGAAAGAAGTCTAGAGCTTTAAACACTTTTGCAAAAGAACTGAAGTTCAAAAACAATTAATAACTGTTTGCATCAGTGAAATCTATGATCGCTTCCACCTCTAACATGCAGTAATTCAAATAATAACACCGAACAACATGAAAACGGCAATGTTTTTGCACAAAGAGAAACAAAACTACTCAGCTAAAACCAGTAACAGGTGCCTAAATAGCCATCCTGATGATCAGGGCTTAGGCACTTGACTGGTGGGCACAGTGTCAGGTCCGGGGAGCCCTCAAGTCTGGGGGACTCCTGGAGCTGCTGCATCTTTGTCATCCATCACCAACCCTGAACCAGGATTCACCACATCTGCTCCCACCCTTTGCTGGGGATACTTAGGGACATGGGAGGTAGAAGTGGGGAGAAGGAGTGGGGCTGAGAGTTGTGATGCTAAGGATTTGAGTCAAAGCTGCTTTGAGCCACATAAACAGTCATCATTCTAAGTTACTGGACTCAACTGAGTTGGAGCCGGAGATCAGGGACATTTGCACAATGGCGAGCTGACATCTGAACTTACCTCACTGAAGGGAAAGTTTACAAAACCACTGGGGCACGCGAATCAGTCTGCAAGAGGAGAGCTTGGGAGCGCCATTTTCAACCTTTCAGAAACACTGAAATAGCCTCGTCTATGCCTGGTGTGTTTACCGGGGCCAGGCCTGCCTCAGTTTCTAAATATCAGCGCCTTCCTAGCTGGGAAAAGACCACCTCTTCCCAAAGCCAATATATTGCACAGCATTTATTTTCTAAACCTGTCCATCATTCCATGGAATCCACGCCCCCTCCTCCCAGTGGGACTCCATGGCCAAAGTCAGACCATATGTGATTTCATCTATGTCCTGGTTGTTAAGTCAAGAGGAAAGACAGACACAGGGTCTGGCGGAGCCAGGTCTGCTCTCCTCAGAAGCAGCTCTGGATCAAGAGGATGAATCCAGGAGCCACCTCTCTTTTCCTTGGCAGAAACCGACCCCCTGTTTGTGAGAAGTGCTGTGAAAATAGACCAGCAAGAGGGCAGCTGAAGAAGGACTCAGGTCTGGAGCCAAGCTGACCGATTCTCAAATTCCAGATCTGTTATTTACCTACTGACTTCAGGCTAGCAAATGACATAATCTCTCTGAGCTTCAGTTTTTTCCTCTGTAAAACGGGGACACTGATCATTTCTACCCCACAGATTCATTGAGAAGACGACATGAGCTAGGGTGTGAAAATAGCTTAGCACCATCCTTGGTACAGAGGAACCCCTTACAGTTATATGTTTCACTGTTGTTATTATAATGGCTACAACTACCAAGGCTATTGGTAGAATCACAAACAGTGTCTGTGATGACCTTGACATATAAAACAGGCCCTCTAGAAGCAATTCCATGGCTATTTTTTTTTTTTTCTTATCTCCTGGCCCTAGGCAGCTCTGCTACCCGCAGGGAGTGTGCCAGACCCACTGACCTCTCCTCTTACCTTCCTTTTGTTGGTGGGATTGACGTAGAGGTAACTGAGGACAGTCTTCAGGCCCACTTTGTCATTCAGCTTTTCATAGGTGGTGCCATAATTCGTTGATCTGCAGGTAAGAGAGAAAGGGAAAGATTGTTTTACCAGATGGGGGATTGTGTTTAAGGGGGAGCCAGGCTCCCCTTGGACTGGCACCTTTGTTCCCAAATCACATGAGTGCTTACAGTGTTTTTCAGAGATAAAAATCCCTATTAATTTTAGAAGAGCAATTAGACTAATGCATCTGCTTACGCCTTTGCTCCCGGCCTTTCTCAGAGACCTACTTTTCTGCCCTCTGTGAAGATGTACTGAGAAAGGAGCTGCAGGAGAGGGCACCTCCCTCATGCCCAGCCCCTGGTTCTCTGCATGGCCCTGGGGAGGGGCACGCGTTCCCACCAGCAGGAGCTGTGCAAGGCCACAAGGGAGGAAGGCTGGACTGTCACCGGAGGTTGCCGAGGTGCAACCAACTTCACACCCCCGCCACTGAGCTTGAAGCAAGGGGGCCCTCCGAGAGGCAGGAGGTGCCATACCCAGGAGCTTGGGGGGACCAGTAGCCGAAGCAGGCCCCGCCAGGCAGAGGGTTTGATGCTTCACTTAGCCGCAGTGATGTGTCAGGCTGAAAAGCCAATGACACTGAGCTGCTTGCCAACAGTTCATCATTCCAATTATCCCGCTGGCTACCTGCTCCTCATTTGGGCCTGATTTCCAGGGCTCTGACCTGACACCAAAACAGAACAAAGGCAGGCCAAGTCCTAGGCTCCTTCCTCTCGATCTCACCTTTCCATGATGGAGGAAGGAGAGTGGGTGTCCAACAGTGAGATTCAAGTACCCAACCTCCCATCCACTTTTCTCCTCCCTTCCCCAACCTCTGCTCCACCCACACCTCCCTCCTTTTTCAAACCACCAGTGTCAGCGGGCTCTCCTCCTCTCTTTCTGTGATCGCCTTCCTTGACTAGACTCACACAACTTCCCCCACCTGAGCTTTAGAAAGTCACAGAGGTCAGTTTATTTTCTCTATGATCAATGGACTTCACAGGAGCCTTCATGCCGCCTTAAATCTCAGTTCCCGGCTCTGGCTGTGTGCCTCCCCTGGTAACTTCCTGCCCCTGCCTTTTCCTTCAGCATCCATCGACCTTCTAACTCTACTCTGCTCTTGTCCTAACCCACAGCTTTACAAACCTAGTGGCCACACTACGTGATGACCTCTAAGAATTACCCACTCCCTCATCCAACTGGGCAAATTCCATGTCCTCCAGTTTAAATACCCATGCTCACCTCTGTTAAGGCTTCCCCATTGCCACTTCTCTTTCCTCGGCTCCAGAACCAATGTCCCCATCCATTATGCTCCCAAGACACACGTGCGTGCCTCTTTTTGATTCTTCAACATTGTCATGATTACTTTCTTTATGTTCTACTTCCCCAAGTGCAACGCAAGCCCCTCAAGGACAAGGAACTTCAGAGAACATTAGGGCGAGGGGAAAAAGCATGAACTTTGGGCGGTCATAGTTAATCTGTTTCATCCCCAGATCTGTAGCTCTCTGGTTCCATGACCACGTGCAAGTTACTTAACCTGTTGGAGCCTCAGGTTTCTCACCTGAAAGGTGGGGATAATGTAATCTCACAAGGCGTTTGTAAGGATTCAAAAATATAACACATGAGAAACATCCTAAAGGATGTAAGCATACTGAAATGTTGAAAAATAAATGAAAAAAAAGAATTTGCTTCTCTTTTCCCAAAAATGTACAGAACCAGGCCTTACACATCATGGGCACTTGGCACGTTTACTGAATAAATAAACATTAATATTTCAAATCCCTCCCTAGGCTACTGGCTCCACGTGGTCATTGGGTCCGCTAACTTTAATAATCAGTCCCAAAAACCTGACTTATATTCTGTCTCCTAGCTTAGGCATGGCAATCACTCTCAAGCATTCTCTTTGCATTTATCTCCCTAGCCTAGCTCAGTACCCAAGTCTTAATGATTCTATGTCCTAAATAACTTAGACCACTGGTCTTTCCAGCCTTTCTCCAATGCTGTGCCTCATGCATCATCATTTTTGCCACAGTCTCCCAAGTGGATGGTCTTCTTTCAACCTTCTCCCCCTCCCACCATCCTCTATGCTGTCGCCAGGTTGTATTTCAACCACCCAGATCTGTCCACCTCACTCCCTGATAGTGGCTACTTACTGCTTGCACACTGTGATGCTCTGTTTGCCAAGCTTAGCCTTGTAAAATCTGGCTTCAGCCTCCATTACTAAACTTGTTTACAGCCACTTGCTCCTCTGCCCCTTTCTCTCCAACCTCATTAAACTTTCCTGAATGTCTTGCATTTTCATCCCCCTCCTTTTCTGCACACATCATTCCCTTTGCCTGAATTATCCATGCCCTGTTTCCCCTACTTGGTCAATTTGTCTCCAACCTTCAGCACCCAACTCCAACATCGCCCTCCTTCCAACTTTCCCAAAGCCAAATTAATCACATTGTCCTTTCTACCATCTTGTACATATTTCTATTTTAGCATTTACCCTACTGTCTTGGTCATTCCATTTTTATTCTGTGACCTCTTCCTTGACTATCACTCCCTAAGGGCAACAGCTGTTTCTTGTCACAGCCCAGATGTCTTGCACCATGCCTAGTACAAAGCAAATGATTCATGTATTGATTTTTGCACTGTTTTGCTTTGTCTTTATTTGCAAGAATAAATGAATGAGATTGCCCAAACCTTCTCACAAGTTCTTGACCAACTGCTAAGGTCTAGTGGCAACTCAACACATACCACAGCGAGAAAACACACCTGACCTTTTAGATGCTGCACACCTGGTAAGGACTAGCAGCATCTGGTGCAGAGGAGGATTTATAGTTCACTCAGACTAGCATTAAGGTTAAAAGACCAATCGCCCTGAGCTCCTATCCTACCTAAGGCAGAAGAGGAGACAGGCCACAATTGCTATGGGCTGTCAGTTGCATACTCTTATTAACCCAAATAAAACATTTTATAGAATAAACTGCTTCTTGAGTTTATACTTGTAAAGGCATGATGACATCATGGTATAGGGAAAAAACATTGAACCTGGAGTCTGGAAATCTAGACTCTAGAAGTGATTCTGAAATGTCCTCAAAGTGTTACCCTAGACAAGCCAATTCTCTCAGCCTGTGAAAGCAAAATCCCACCTGACACTTGTTAAAATAGTTAGGCAGACTTCATTCAGGGCTATCACAATAGGTAGATTACAGTAATGGGACTTGCAGTAGGAAATACAGATTGCATTCAACTCTGAATACAACAAGGAAAAGCAGGAATTTATAGCCATAAAGAATGGTTGTGGTCGGCTAATGAAACATTAGTAAGAGGCTAGTATAGTTCTTTGCTAAACTCACCTGACAGGATGCATGCTAAAGGCAGGCCAAGGTGATCAGACATCACCTGGGGCACCGTGGGTGTTGAGGAATTTGCTCAGATCTTAAGCATGATGAGATATGGAGGGTGGGGGATTCTGGATAAACCGACTAAGCAGGAATTTTGCTAAAACTGGGACCTTAGGACATATCCAAGGGCAGGGCCTAATTGAAAAAGAGCTTGAGAATCCTGACTAGAGTATGGTCAAGAAGGGAATCTTGTCAAACCCCATTCTGTCATCAACACAAGAGGCTCCTTCTGGAACTTAAATCTTACTATCCCACCAACACAGTGCTAAGCTGTTTTCCAACTAGTGGCTTTTCCTCATACTGTATGTAACAAACATCTTACTTATACGAGTTAAATGCACAGGGCTCCCTGCATGACTTATGTCAAAACAAATTTCCTTCCCGAATCCAAATAACATTCATCAAAAGTGGCAAGGCTTAGCACCACGCACAGTCTCTCTTTCTGCAAGCGACACAACAGATTCCCACTGACTTGTTCTTCACCAAAAGTGGCTATTGAGAGTAGGGACTTCCCAACAAAGGATTCTCCGCATCTCAGCTTTCACCATGCCTGGGGCAGTCTCTGCTCATTCAGGCTGACAGAAACAACTCACAAGAGACACCTCAAGGAGCCGGTGAACCTATGGGACCAAAGGCGACCTGGTTCTCCTTTCCAGCATCGACTCCGCACACGGAGTTAGTTGACCACAGGGCTCTGCAGGTCCCCTTTGCAGGGGGCAGGTGGAAGAGAGACCTCAGACCCATTGCCAGAGAGAGCTGTGCCTGCAAAACTCACTTTTACAAGAAAGCAGACCATCCTCCACCTTGTGACTCCAGACAATTGCCAGTAGGGTCACTTAGAGGAAACAGGCTCATCTCGCCAATTTTAAAGCTAGCCTCCCCAAATTTTGACAGTAGACTAAAATGTTCAGAAATTTCCAGAAAGCTGGAACCATCATGCACATGCACTGAGCACCCACCGTGGGCCGAGCACAGTGCCAGAGTCCATGTTGAGCTGCTCAGTACACACAGCTAACCTGGAAGACGGCAGGTAACATGCGCACAGCCCAGGGCATCCAACCTTCGTGCCTTGGCTCAGGTTACTCAATTCCAGCAGAAAATTCCATTGCCGTGTGTGCGCCTGTGTGTGCGTGCACGCACGTGTGTGTGTGTGTGTGTGTGCGTGCGTGTGTGTGTGTCCCTGCCTCTTACTTTCTTCGTCTATTTTATGAATTATTTCCAGCACACAGAAAAGCACAATGAGATGTCAATCATATGCCCACTACTAAATTTAATGAATATTTGTGTTCATAAACAACCTTTTTGAGTTTCTCCATCTACATAAATCTTATCTTACATGATACATGTTCCAAAGCTTGCTTGTTTTGCCGAACATTCAGTTTTAGGGATTTATCCATGCTGACACTTGGCCATAATTCATTCATTTAAACTGCTGTAGACCACTGCAGCTTATGAATAAACCACCGTCTAGCTTTCAACCACGGATAATTTTCTTTCTTTTAAAATTTGCTATTACAGTGTTACAGTGAACATTCTTGTACATGGCTTTCTGTGCATTTGTGAAGATTTTGTGCATTTTTTTCTGGGGAGACATCTTGATGTGCAATTACTGCTTCCTACTCTGTGTGTAACTTCTACTTTGCTG